CGACCCCCATCACCATCCCGCATGAGAGAGAGAAGGAAATGAAAGGAGTGTTAGACAATCCATACATGAGCTCCCTCCAGTACCATTGGACATCGAAGACCTGAGCTCCCTCCTGGCGTGCCGCTCCGATCTCTCGCGATCAGCCCCATGATCGCCCAAGTCATTGCCTCTCTCTCTCTCTCTCTCTCTCTCTCTCTGTATGTGTGTGTGTGTGTGTGTGTGTGTCCAAAATGGAGGTGCACGACTCGAGTTGGTTGCAGCAAATCCCACAGTCGACAACACCTGGTAGTAGCAAGTTATGATTTCGGGGCGACGTGGCGCGATGAGGAGCGTTAGATCGTGGGTGACATCATGCGAAATCGGTGCGAGGAACGTCTGGTTGCCCGGAGGGAAACATTTCCCTTAAAATAACTGCATACAATCCCTACAGCAACGCGTGAATTGTTCGTTGGTCATTTGTCGTTAATCACACAAATGTTTTGAGAGCAAAGCAGGCCAAATGTGGCAGTCCGGCCTGGCCCAATCGGGCCTAACACAACATGATTATTAGCCGGGTTGTGTCGTGCCTGCCCGCGTGTTGGGTCCTCCAACCAAGGCATAAATGGGCTGGCACGTGGCACGATTAGCACGCGAACACGAGTATATATATAAATGTATTGAAAAAAGGTCGTGCCGTCCTGCGTGCCCAACCTTCATGCCCACGCATGCGACTTTTCCTATTTGTCGCACGTTGCGGCAAAGTGTCGCCGCAACACATAGGCAGCGATCAATACCGAGCACACTGTTTGGAGCTGTACGGGAAGCTTTATGTTTCCGGTTTTGGGAACAATTTGGAGGTTTCCAGTCGGTTTTTTCCGGTTCGGGAACCTTCTGGAATTATACAGAAAGTTTTTTCATTTTAATGTCTTTTACTTTTTCTTTTCGTTCATTTTGTATTTTTACTATTTCATTTTTTCTTTTCTTTCATTTCTTTTTTTTATTTTATTTCACTTTTCTTTTTTGTTTTTCAAGTATACTTTTCTTTCTTTCAAAATTTGTTCAGAAATTCAAAAAATGTTCATTATTTAAAAAAAATGTGTTTTTAAAAAATGTTCCTGTATGCAGAATTTGTTCACAAATTCAAAATATGTTCATGTTTTTGAAAGTTGCTCGCAAATTCAAAACATGTCATGATGAATTACGTAAAACGTTCATGTTTTGAAAAAAAGATCATAATTTCAAAAATTATTCATGATTTTCAAAAATGGTCCAGTTTTTTTAACTTGTTTGCAGATTCAAAAGATTTCATATTTTCAAAATTTGTTCACAAATTCAAACAAAATCTGGGAATTTTATAAAATGTTCGTGATTTAAGAAGAAAAACATAATTTTGAAAAATGGTGTGTCTTTAAAAAATGTTTGCATGTTCAAAAAATTGTTCATTGTTTCGAAAAATGTTCTCGTCTTCAATTTTGTTCCTTCTTTTGTGAAAAATGTTTGAGGTTCCCAAATAATATCCGCCTTTTCACCAAATGTTTGAGTTTTATTTTTTTTAACATTTAAATTTTTCAAAATAAAATCATGTTGAAATTTCAAAAAAATATAAAATTCTCGCAGCTTATAATTATTTGAACTGTGTTGTTAATTTAGAGAATGAGTCGCAGAAACTACAGTGGCTAGCGACGTAGTTCACTCGCTGGAGGTCACATATTCGATCCCTGCAGTTCACATACTTCAAATTTTGTTCATTCTTTCGAAAAAAGTTTGAAAAATCAAATTTAAAAAAGTGTTCGAATGTTTTTAAAAGTGGTTCAAAAATATAAAAAAGTCACCTTCACAAATGTTGTTCTTGTTTTTCGATTTTTTTCACAAATTTTGCAAAATCTGTTTGAAATTCCAAATTTTGTTTGTGTTTGTTTGGAATTTCAAAATGTGTTCACATTTCCTAAAAAAAACTATTAATGTTTTCCGAGATGTGTTCAAATTTTCAAAAATCTATATGCTACATACATGTACAGAAAATAACATGCAAGGTGAATATCCCGCAATAGAAACTTCTCAAATACAATCATGATGAGGTATTGTTCACATGTAGCCGTTTGCTCTGGTGGCTAGCAGCCCTTTGGATGAAAGGGATATCACTTATTCAATACGTCGCGGCGTCACTTCCGTTTTTTCGATTTTTGCCGCTTTTTTTAGTGTATTTTGATTTTTACCGCTGTAGATGCACCTCGGGGGGCCTCGTAGTGGGCCAGCCCAGTCGCGCGCCTCTTGTGCTTTGCGCTGGTTATTCGTCGCAAAATGCGGCGAGCTCCCGGCGGGAATATCCTATTTGCCGCTCGCTGCGGCAAGTTGTCGGGCGGACGCACAGGATCGAGGGTTCGCGCGTGGGCCGTCCCGTAAAATGTTTCGCCCATTCCGGTTTTAGGAACCTTCTCACTTGTTCCCAGCAGGTTTTTTCCGGTTTTAGGAACCTTCTCACTTGTTCCCAGCAGGTTTTTTTCCAGTTTTGGGAACCTTCTAGGAGCTTCCTAAAACTTTTTTTTGTTTCTTTTTCGTTTTTCATTTCCCTTTTTCCTCTTTATTTTTTCTTCTTTATCTTTTCCTTTTCTACCTTTTCAAGTTTTCTGTTTCATCTTTTTTCTTTCTGTTTATTTTCTTTATTTTTCCTCGTCTTCTCTTTTTTATTTTCATATTTCTAATTTTTCAGATTTCTAAAAAATGTTCTTGTTTTGATAAAACTATTCATATTTCTCAAAAAATGTTTGAAAATTTTAAAAAATGTTTTTATTTTCAAATTTTGTTCTGAGTTTGAAAAAATGTTCTTGTTTCAAAAATTGTTGACCGATTCCAAAACTATTCGCGTTTCCAAATCTCTACTCTTGTAAAAAACAGAGTTGGTGATGATGGTGTGCCTGCCATCCTGCAATATAGGCCGTCCGATTTATATCTGGCGAATAGAAAGGAAACTATGGCAATTTTGCAAAAAGATACCCACACCCCTCTCCACATTTGCAAATAAGGCCTTCCCCATTCATCCTTTTCTTCCACAAGATTAAACTACTCATACAAATTCATCTTGATGTTCCGTGCAACGCACGAGCATCTTGCTAGTTATTGTTCAGAGTTTCAGAAAATGTCGCCTTTAACAAAAATTTGTTCACATATTCAATAATGTGCGTCATTTTCAAAAAACTGTTCAGTTTATCAAGAAATGTTCGAGCTTTTTTTCTTCTCAAAGTTGAAAAGTGTTCGCTTTGAAAAAACATATTTCCAAAACAATGTTCGCGTTCAGAATTTGACAAAATGCTTAGATCTATATTACCTTTAGCTTCACGCACCATAGTAAACCAAGAAGCTCATCTATCCCGTCGGCTAGGCTCGTGTATAAGCAACAGGAGATCCTGGTTCGATCCCTCCCTTGAGCAAACTTTTTGGGGATTTTTCACTGTGTTGCGCTAATGGGCTGGCCCAGCTGGAGTCGCGCCTGTGCGTCCGCCGGCAATTCGCCGCAACAAGCGGCGCATAGGAACTCCCCTCCCGGCGCATGCCGCGTGCCGTGCCAGGAGTGCTGGAGGGCCGCCCTGGCAGGCCCAGGTGGCCAGGTTTGTTTGGAAGCAGTGACTCATCTTCCGTCCAGCCAATGATATTGAGATGGCTCAAACTTGAGATAATCAAATGGCGGGATGCCTCGTGTCCGCACACCTCACCCCACCCACCACACCGTTCTCCACGCGTCTCCCACCTACACTCTCACACGCGTCATGCCCGAGGCAACAAATCCTCCTTCCGCGGATTAATGGCGCCGCGCTATAAGTGTCGCCTCGAGAAAGCACGGCAGCTTCTCTAGAGATTCCAGCAGCATCGTCGGCTAGTCCAAACTGAAACAAAGGAGGTCGGGCGGCATGGAGTCGGGCAAGGAGGCCGCGGCGAACGCCGGCGCGTCGGCGCGCGCCGGCATGGAGAAGACGAGGGCCGCCGTGCAGGGCAAGGTGGACAAGGCCGCGGCGTACACGACAGGGCACAGGGAGGCGGCGGTGGTGAACAAGGAGGCGGCCGAGGTGAAGAAGCAGCAGCGGATTCGCGCCGCCGAGGAGGAGAAGCAGCGCGCCATGCGGGACCACGCCGCCGCCAAGGAGCGCGCCAGCGGCGAAGAGACGGAGGACCGCAACGGCGGTCACAGCCCTGCCCCTGCGGGCGGCCACGGTGAGTAATGAGGAGCGCGCGTCCCGCCGACCCGAGCGACTGAGTGATCCAGCAGTTATACGTATTCTTATGGTGTTAACCGTGTCGTGTGTGTTTTCCGTAACTCGGGTATTGATGATGTTTTCCGCTGCTGCTTGTGATCTGTAATCGAACGAGACATGTGTATAAAATTGTTAGTACGGTACAATTGTCAGCAGAACGAATGGTGTTTACGAGACTGAACTAAGCGTGCTTGATCATGACGATGCGGATTTCCGTCAGCATGGCCAATTTGTCTCAATAGTACACCCTCTGTTCGTAAATCCTAAATATAAGACGTTTTTCAGTTCAAATTCCTAAATATAAGACATTTTGCAGTTCAAAAACAGAGGTTGTAAAACATATCAGATCAAGAAAACCACTCTCCGACTGTGCATGCAGATCCATCTCAGGAGTATTCATGTTCAGCGATCATAGCACATACTGTACATAGCAAGTCCAAAGCACTCGACTCTAACTAGGCCAATCACGGCATAGGTATTCGGTGGTACAGTAGCTTTTATTTTTGTTACTCGAGCGGAAGAGGCTGCCATTGCTTTACATCAAAGGTCATTGCTGCATAAGGTTTGCCTCCTCAACAACTCATCCAAAAGTCCGAACTATGGGAGAGGGCGTTTACTGGGTTTTGAACCCTGAACCAAGAACTCTTGGTTGTAAGTTTATGCACCTAACCAGTTCACCCATTAGTCCAAGTTTACAAATATAATTGGGTTTAAGTTAGAGATAAAGAGATAGAGATAGAATTAGTTTAAACCATATGTAACTTGTCTTGTACTTCAAGTCTCTACCCCTCTTGTACTCCTATATATACCCTACACAAGGATCAGATCAATACAACAACAATATTCTGATAGATCCTTAGATCGGAGTGGGCTAGGAGATCCGATAACCTACCTTCTCCTGGTGCGGACGAACTCGATCCAGCACCGGCCATGGTGGTGTGGTGACGGCGGCGATGTGGACTGAGATGGCGACGGCGGAGCTTCCCGTCGGCCTAGCGCAAAACCCTAGATCGGATTGGTGTGTCGGTGGTGTTGTGGTGCACGGTCAACCTCATGATACGTGCCCCGGCACCCCACCTCTTTATATTGCGCTGGCGACAGGGGCCCACCAACCATGGTTTGGTTGGGCGCCCCCGATCAGGGCGCGAGTCAGGGGCCCGTTCGACCCGTTGGGTTCGAACGGGATAGAGATCAACCTAACATTCTCCCCCTTGATCTCAACTTTACTTTTAACCTTATACTTTCTAGTTTATTTGTTTCATCACATATTGGTACATAGAGCATGTTTCATCGTCACAGCTCAATTGCCGATAGAATCATACAGCTACAACATACGTTATGTTCAGAAACAAATTCTGTTCCTTTTGGGCCTATCCAGGAATCATAAGGCTTTCCCTTAAACCCATGCCGGCAAAGTGTTCCTTGAACACATTGGGTGGTAAACCTTTCGTTAGCGGATCCGCAAGCATATCTTTTGTCTTTATATGCTCGAGACTTATAGTTTGATCCTGGATTTTATCTTTCACAACATAATACTTTATCTCTATTGTTTTGGCAGCATTACTCGACTTGTTGTTGTGAGCGTAAAATACCGCGGGCTGATTGTCGCAGTACATCTTTAGTGATTTGTGAATACAATCTACCACTTTCAAGTCGGGTACAAATTTCTTTAGCCATATCGCCTGCCCCGTGGTTTCGAAGCATGCTATGAATTCTGCATACATCGTGGATGATGCAACTGTCGATTGTTTGGAGCTTTTCCACGAAATAGCTCCCCCAGCGAGGGTGAATATGTATCCTGGCGTGGATTTTCTATCATCTTTGTCCCCCGCAAAATCTGCGTCTGAATACCTTTTTATCTCTAGGGAATCAGATCTCCTGTATGTTAGCATGTAGTCCTTCGTGCCTTGCGCATAACGTAATGCTTTCTTTACCATCTTCCAGTGCTCTATGCCTGGATTCTCTTGATATCTACCGAGTACCCCGGTGATAAAGGCTAAATCAGGGCGAGTGCACACTTGTGCATACTGTAAGCTACCAACTGCCGAAGCATATGGTACTCCTTTCATTTGATCGATCTCGTACTAGTTTTTGGGACATTGGAATTTCCCAAAACTATCGCCCTTAACTATAGGAGCAGGTGTGGCTTTACTCGCATGCATATTATACTTTTTAAGAACCTTTTCTAAATATGCTTTCTGCGATAGTCATAAGACTCCATTGTTTCTATCTCGATGAATTTCTATGCCCAAAACATATGATGCTTCACCAAGATCTGTTATGTCAAAATTCGAGGATAAGAACTTCTTTGTTTCTTGAAGTAGACTAACATCACTGCTAGCAAGCAGAATGTCATCCACATACAAGATTAGGAAAATATATTTCCCATTTTTAAACCTTGCATAAATGCAGTTATCCTCAATATTTTCTTTAAATCCAAAACTTTTAATCGTTTGATTAAACTTTAAATACCACTGCCTAGAGGCTTGCTTTAATCCATAAATGGATTTCTTTAGGCGGCATCCCATATTTTCCTTGCCTTCCATGATAAAACCCTTGGGCTATTTCATGTAGACATTTTCTTTTAAATCTCCGTTGAGAAATGTCGTCTTTACATCCATTTGATGTAATTCTAAATCAAAATGAGCAACTAATGCCATTATGATTCTGAAGGAATCCTTACATGAGACCGGAGAAAATGTCTCTTTGTAATCTATCCCTTCTCTTTGTGTAAATCCTTTTGCCACGGGTCGTGCTTTATATTTTTCTATATTCCCTTTAGAGTCATACTTAATTTTGTAGACCCATTTGCAACCTACTGATTTGGCTCCTTTAGGAATTTCCTCTAAGTCCCAAACATCTTTGGAACTCATTGATTTCATCTCGTCTTCCATTGCCTTCATCCACATTGATGAATGAGGGCTTCTCATGGCTTCTTCATATGAGGTGGGATCTTTTTCCATATGGACCATTTCTGTGTTATAAACTTTAAAGTCAGTAGAAATAGCTGACTTTCTTGGTCTTGTAGACCTTCTAAGGGCCTCAGTTTCTGGCACATTCTGTGCCTCAACTTCTGGCACTTCTTCTAAAATTTGCTGCTGCACCTCCCTTTCATGCTCAACAACAGGTTCAGTCGGCTCCTGACGGACAGGTTTCGGGTCTGCCCCCATAGTTGTCATGGGTGGAGTTGCAACTGGTAGTGAGAAAAATGGCTCCTGAATCATCGGATTAGGTGCATGCACCCTCTTCTCCTCAAGATCAATTTTCCGAGCTACCAAGCTCCCCCTCATCATTTCATCCTCTAAGAAGACTGCATGTCTCGTTTCTACAAACTTTGTATATCTGTCTGGGCAGTAGAAACGAAAACCCTTTGATCTGTCTGGATAGCCAATGAAGTGGCAACTCACTGTTTTGGGATCTAACTTTCCAATGTTTGGATTAAACATTTTGGCCTCAGCAGGGCACCCCCACACCCTGAAGTGTTGTAGGGATGGCACCCTTCCTGTCCATAGCTTGTACGGTGTTTTGGGCACCGACTTGCTTGGTACTCTATTGAGAATGTGAATGGCGGTTTTAAGCGCCTCCATCCATAAACCCAATGGCAAGTTGGAATAACTCATCATGCTGCGCACCATATCCATAAGTGTACGGTTGCGCCTTTCAGCTACTCTATTTTGCTGAGGTTTGCCCGGCATTGAATACTGGGCAACTATGCCAGTCTCCTGCAAGAACTTTGCAAAAGGTCCAGGGACTTGGCCATATGGAGTGTGCCAACCGTAGTACTCTCCCCCACGGTCGGACCTAACTATCTTTATTCTTTTATCATGCTGATTTTCAACTTCAGCTTTGAATATTTTAAATTTATCCAACGCTTCAGATCTTTCTTTGATTAGATAAATATATCCATAGCAAGAGTAATCATCTGTGAATGTTATGAACGAGTCATATCCATCCACACTTTTCACCGGAAATGGTCCACAAATATCAGTATGGATGATTTCTAGTGTGCCTGTGCTATGGATTGCACCTTTTTTGATTTGTTTTACGTACTTTCCTTTAACGCAATCTATGCATTGTTCTAAGTCTGAAAATTCTAACGGAGGAAGAATTTCACTTTTGACTAATCTTTCTATTCTCCCCTTCGAAATATGGCCCAAGCGACAGTGCCATAATTTCGATGAGTCGAATGTTCTTTTTCTTTTCTTTTGCTTTTTATTGGACGCAGAAACATTTTCTTTCACGTTGCAAACGGAATAAACTTTTTCACGAAGTGATAACAAATAGAGATCATCATGTAGTAAAGCATCACCCACATAAGCATCATTATACCAAATGGCACACTTGCCATGTCCAAAATGACATTCATAACTATCTTTGTCCAAACAAGAAACACTAATTAAGTTTCTATGACATGATGGAACAAATAAAACATCTCTAAGTAGAAGATTGAATCCGCCAGCTAACTCCAAGGAGATATCACCGACAGCTTCAACTTCTGCTTCAACTCCGTTTGCCACTTCAATGCGTCTTTCGCTTCTTAGCGTAGTTCACGTCGAATGGAATCCCTGTAAAGAATTTGCAACATGAACAGTTGCTCCGGAATCAATCCACCAAGTGGATTTTGAAAACTGTGTATACAAGGATTCATTAACAAATGAAACTATATTGTTACCTCTTTTTGCCATGACTGACTTCAGCCAAGCAGCGCAGTCTTTCTTGTAATGCCCTTTCTGCTTGCAGTGGAGACACGTGCCTTTGTCCACTGAGAAAGGCTGTTGCTGATGCTGATGCTGATAGGGGGCTTTTCCATTCTTTGAAGGAGAACTTTTGTTGTTTTGATTGTAGTTCTTTTTCTTCCACTCCTTCACATAGTTGATTGAACCACCATGTGCGGCTTTGAGTCTGTCCTCTTCTTGGACACACATTGCTATTGTCTTTTCAATGTCCCATGTTCCAAGTAACATATT